TTATCATTCGAGTTGCCCTTTTCTGCACTTTTTCCAAAGCTCATCTTCATGGCTGAGGAAGTATAAAGGTACCGTTTCTTTCAGAATGTATCTGTGCAGCTTGTAAGGCTGACCAATCAGATATGTCCTGTTTATCAAACCTGCACACTTGATGCATGGACTTCTTGTCAATAGTGCCTGCTGTGGAATGGCTCTCCTTCTTATGTTGGGGTAGGGGGCATCTACTGTGTTGTACTTCTGCAAGCTGTTAATTATTTAGGCAGGCCTTTAACTGATTACAAGGTCATCTTGTTTGGCAGCAGCACTTAGTAGGCTGGCTAGCTACTTATCTGTTTTTAAACTGGCATTTTTGTAGAACAGACTTTTTATCTGCAGGAGTTAACAAATATACCATATGCAAACATGTTGTTTTGTTGTTGTTCAGTTGCACAGTCGAGTCCGACTCTTCGCGACCCCATGGACCAGATCACGCCAGGCCTTCCGGTCTCCCGCCGTCCTCTGAAGTTTGCTCAACTTCATGTTCGTTGCATCTATGTCACTGTCTAACCATCTCATCCTTTGCCGTCCCCGTCTTCTTTGACCTTCAATTTTTCCCAGCATCAGGGTCTTCTCCAGTGAGTGCTCCCTTCTCATTTGGTGGCCAAAGTATTTGAGCTTCAGTTTCATTATCTGGCCTTCCAGGGAACAGTCAGGGTTGATTTCTTTGAGGATTGACTGATTTGTTCTTCTTGCAGTCCAAGGGACTCTCAAAAGTCTTCTCCAGCACCATAGTTCAAAAGAATCTATTCTTCGGCGCTCGGCCTTCCTTATAGTCCAACTCTCGCAGCCATACATGACTACTGGGAATACCATTGCTTTGACCATGCGGACTTTTGTTGGCAGGGTGATGTCTCTACTTTTTATCATGCTGTTTAGGTTATGACTATGTTAGGTTATGACTATGTTAACCTTTCACTATACTTGAATAACCAGGTTTCAAATCAAAGGTGGCCAGGAGTACCCTTTGATCAGTGTAGGCTGATTCATCAGGAAGGACTGGAGGTCACTTTTGCCTTGGTAACAACCAGAGTGGACAACTATACTGTGGTCTGAAGGATCCATAAACTTCATTTGAAGCTCCCTATTGCTGCCTTTCAATTGATTGTTTCTGTTTGCTGCTACTGCGTTTTTAGTCCACTTTATAACATGTTGGATTTTAAAACGTTGATTTGGTTGTATATTTTATATAGTATTGATTTTAATGTGTTGTAAGATTAGTTGTTGTGTTTAATTGTGAGCCACCTTAGGTATTCTGAGGAGCCGAAACGCAGGGTATAAATTATCAACTCAGTATTATTAATAGTAATAATAATTTTTAGAATGCTTTCAGTGGCTCATTTTAAATAAATATGGTTTAATTGTCATAAATAAAATAAAATGAAATGTAACAGAGAACCCTCCCTGCCCCCAGTTCAGGTTTTCCTGTTTTCTGTGGCATAAGAAACTTCATGCAAATTACAACTGGAAATTCCCTTGACAAGATCATGTGGACTGAAGTAAACCAAAATGCCTTCAAAGCAGATAGAAAGAAAACAATGCTACACTGAGTATCTGTTAAAACATTTACTTTTACACAGGTAACAGCTTAAATTTTACCAAGGAAAGAAAAAAGCCTGATGCAAACAGAATATACTTGGAAGCCTCAGAACTTCAGTAACCAGCACCAAAGTGTAGCAGATCAATAGGATAAACTTCAGTGGTATTAATTTGTTTCACACAATGATTGTTAGTAATCCACAATTGAGTTAATGTTTTTTGATTAGGCTTTTGCCTAGATAAAGTATCTGATGTTGAGTGAAACTGTCATTTGAGAATTTTCTTTCTGTTCTTTCTGGTGAAGAATTCTGTACAACTCTAAAACTACATCATCCTAGTATATGTTTGACTTTCCATTCTTTGAATGAGTGAAAACATTACGATGTAAAATCTGTACACTAGACAATTGAACTATTACAGTTCTTTTGAAATAAATGGGTTTAAATGTGAGTACAGGCATTAAATTGGTTTACAGGCAGACATGTACAGTAGCCTATGGATTGCAGCCACTGTTAATCTGAGATTCCTTAGAACAGCATCACAGTTAATATATTGTACTGTTTTTGCTGCGGATGCTAGTTCTCTTTGGTAGAAATCTACTAGCATAATAGCAGATAGGGATGTTCTTCTGAACCTGTTGCAAAGTTGTTATAAAGAACATGTGATCTGAAACATGATTGGAAAGAAATGACACTTTATTGCATCTGCCAGATGCTTGTGTTCTGTCTTATCTGCTTTCTTTTTTGCCCTACTTTTAAACTGTTTTCAGTTCTGTAGTGCAGATGTTGTTGTGGTTGATGTTGCATAAGTGTTGTTTCACACCTGATATAGGATTTGCTAATTTCATTCACTGCACCACAATGACCAAGTCAACTCCAGGAAAAGAGTGACGTCACAGGAGTTTAAAACACATTGTTTACACTGTAACACTGCTTCTTGCCTCTGGCTAGTTATTACATTGGGAGCTGCCTTTGCTCAGTCTCTCTACAGGGCAAGGAGAACTCTTTTTTCCCCACCCCTCCTTCCTTCACCAAAGTAATGGTATTGGCAACTATTAAAACCAGTGGTAAGGGTTATTCCCTTGCGTCCTTGGTAATCAAAGCAGTTTTGCCCTTTGTCTCACACAGGATGCTGCAGCACCTGTTTCAGGACATTTACAGGTATTTATAATGGGCACAGGTGCTGATGAGACTGGGCTGTCAGTTCTACTACTATTACCATCAGACAATAATAATTATCTAATGAACTTCAATGAGATTTTACTATGGAAAACTTTGGTTAAGTCAGATTATTCTGGTGATTTCATCAGGAAAAAAATCTTGCAATGGAAGTTATTGGTATGGACACTGCATTTTGTTCTTAATGGCTGTGGAATTTCTCATTTCAGGTATAAAATATACAAGTTGCAATTTCTTGCTACATTAACCATTTTCTGAATGAGGCTGAATCTAAATTAATCAAATCACCCAAAGCTCCATCTGTTGATACAACTGCAGCCTCAGGGGGGAAGTCACCCTCCTAATTATCTGTTGCAATCCCACTGCAACTGCTTGATAACTGTATGTCAGACAAACGGGGTTGCATGAATGCTGCTTCTTTAATGAGGGTTATGAGCAAACCAATGATCTTCATGTTAGAGAACTTCAACACATTGCACTCCGAAACACAGACAGAATGCGATCTCCTAAACCCCCTTAATATCTGGTACCCTATATTAGAAACAATAGGCTTAGACAGATTCGTTTGGGAAACTGTACGAAATGTTAAATTCAAGCTTTTATTATATACTTGAATAAGACATATTCTACATCTCGCTACCATGTAACCTTTTGCTGGCATAAAGCCCACTTTTTAGACCAAAATTATTCCTTTCCTAAGTTGTACACTTAGCGGATTAGCTTTGATAAGTTATCATTGCCTATGTGGGCCCACACTTTATAACAAACTGGTTATTGAGAAATTTTTTCTTCACCTTTAATGTGACTTAATACGAGTTGTTGTGTTTGTTTTCAAAAAAGGTTGTTCCACTGTTTAAACTGTTATTTACTTATGTATTATGTAATTCAAATGTGAACAAAAATAAAATTTTAAAAAAAAATGAGCAAACCAATGTTGCAGGAAATGTGCATTCTGGATTTAATCATACTACGTATTGACTAGAAAGCAGGACATTTGTAATTATGGGACATTATATTTGTAAAGAGTTGGAGAGCTACTGTTTATTACTCTATCTAAGTCAGTTCTGGAGATGGGTGAGAGCTTCTGCCTAGAAGTTGGGACAATTTTCACTGATTTCCCCCTCCTCCTGTAAACCCCACTTTGCCCCCTATGCTGTTCCTGAGGGTCTACTGACCCCCAGGAATAAAATTTCAGGGTGCTCAGTTGGCTGCAGCAGGAGGGAGAAGCAAAACACTCTTTTGGGAGGCCCATCCATCTTGTTGGATATAAGCCTTCGTGTTCATGTTGCTTGTGCAAGGGAGATCCACATGCAGAATCAGACTCATATTGATACAGTCAGTACAGGTGCACCACTGGATACGCATCCAGCTGCATCCTTCTCACAGTGCTCATTTGGACCCACTGACCTGATCAATGCAACTTTGACTTCTTGTTGTGATCAGGGCCCATGTTTTTACCCAATACTTCAATGCACACTGAACCTGTTTAGCAAAAGTCAAAGTTGCAGGCTGCTTTCTTCAGAAAAGTGCTGAAGATTAGTTTGCACCATTTACAGTAATGCTTCAAGATTTACTGAATACTGTTGCAAATGTGTTCATCTTTTCTCCAAGGAAATGGGAGGAACACATTATAAGTTACTCTTCTGTCTAGTGGGTGGAGCAGCCCAGATCGATTAGTTTTATACATGAAATTTTATCAGGCTCTTTCAGAGTATTCTCATGTCCTATTACAGTTTACTCAGGCACAAATCCCACTGAACCTAATGGAGTTTACTCCATAAGTGTCCTCAGGACTTCAGTCTAACACTGCTATCCTAAGAAGAGTTACACCCTTCTACCTCCATTGAAGTGGATTAGCTTAGAAGGGCACAACTCTTCTTAGGATGGCACTGCCAGGCTTCAATCTTATGCACACTTACCTACGCACAAAACTCTTGGAATAAAGTGGGGCTTTCTTCTTAATAAGCTTGCATAGGGTTGAGTTGTAGAACCCACAGAAGTTATGGAAACTCCAACCCGTACACAAAAGTCTCTTGCCCACAAAAGTTTCCCCATTGGCATATCCATGTGTGCAGTGAGGTACTGAGAGGACTCTGGATCAAAACACACATCCAGAACCTAATATAGGATGAAGTACACAGTTATTACTCCAAAACGTTTATTGTACAAAAATTATTTCTAGAAAACAATTGAAGACATTTTGCTTCACACTTTCTTCAAGGCGCCTATAGGCATTGCTATAGGTAATAGTTCATTTTAATTCTGGACACATTCAGTCATATAAAAATAAAACTATTTACATTATGTCCACATACGTATAACAAAAGTTATCTATTTTTTTATAAAGGCACTTGGAGGGTATTACTCAAGATATTGCATTTCCTTTGTGCATTTAGGAAAAAAAGCTTTTAAGAATTCCATGTCAAACTCCCATTAACCCTCACTCTTGCACTTATTCCCATTTTTAAAAAAAACACAAGCTAACAACCACAAAACAACAACAACAACAACAAAAAGGAAATATGAATCAAGCAGGCAGCAGGAATGGCTGCAGTGACAGTTTTACAAAGGCACATAGTCGTAAAACATGGCAATTGGACATACATTCTTCTCTTCCTCTATGAATGATGGAGTGCTTGAAGACATTTCAGGTCACTTAGGCAACAGGTATGCAATTCTAGAACAACAGCAACAAACTGTCCCATTAGACACAGGCTGACTTGATTTGGAATACTCAGAAAAGCACCTGTAGATATTTGGTATCTGGCAAACACACATTAACATTGAATCGCATTTTCATAGCAAAAATGTTTCTTAGGAAGGCTTCATCTGGTGGGAATGTAATATTAGCACTGCGGTGTGTTCTTAGCAAAATAAAAACAAACAAATAAAAAAGAACCGCACAAGAGCTTGTGTTCATTTGGCATTTGCTTCTTCCTGTGTTTAAGAAGTGTGCACTTCCTTTGTATCACAGTGTCACACTTAAGCAACTGACTTTGGATTTTTCTTCCTTCTGGGGGGAACTGGGAAGCTGGAGATCAAATGCATCCAGGGCTGCCTCTTTATCTTCCTGAAAAGTTATGGATCAATTTATGGAGCCAGGTAAACTCAGTGTACTACACAGCAGCCAGATTCCTCATGTTTGTGCAGAAGAGACATGCGGGAGAAAGTTTTGGAACAATTTTTGCACTGGTATTTCTTCACATCTGAATGGGTCTGCAGATGTGCTCTCAAATTAGAGCGGTCTGCAAACGCTCTGTTGCAATGAGGGCATGAAAAAGGCTTCTCTCCTGTAAAAATATACATAAGGGGGTTTAAGCATTCAAAAGCTAAAATGCAGAACTACACATACAGAGAGGGCAAGTATTTGCACAGAAGAGAGGGACAGGGGTCTCTAAGATGGGCCATTCAGTTCTCAGTAGCTTTTGATTCACTACTGTGCTAACCATGATTCATTATTTCATACTTGCCAGAGTTTGCTGGAGTCACAGTGTATTGAGTGACAACCTGTAACACTTTCTGTTTCAGCAGGTGCAGCCAGTGCCTGTAGGTGGGGCTCCACCCAGTATTCCCACATGCTCCCTATGCTCATTTATTGTATCCTGTGGAACGCCTACTGCTGCCCAAGGCTGCAGTTTACACACCACTGACGTGAATGGCACAACTCCCATCTGATTGAATGCTTCAGGCATTTACACCCTGCTTTTTTGGGAGCAGGACTAGAATCAGCAAATTAGGATTCAGAATGCCTAACACAGACCTTTGGTTCTACATGGTCAGTATTGTCTACTTTGATGGGCAGCAGCTCTCCAGAGTCTCAAGCAGAGATCTTTGGCACCACCTGCTACTACCTGGAGATGTTGGAGATTTAATCGGGGACCTTCTTCGTGCCAAGCAGATGCTCTACCACTGAGCTATAGCCCCTCCCTAAATAATGCTCAATATCAGATTGCAACTAATACATAAACTGCTGGCATGTATCTTGATCCTATACACCTTAAATGAAAGTAAGTTCCACTGAACTCAGTGAGACTTCATAGAAGTGCAGCTAGATCCTATGCAAGAAATATGCCCAACAACTGTGTTCAATGGATCTTACTCCCAAGTAAGCAGGAATAGGATTTCAGCCTTTGGGTACTTAGTACTAAGTTGAATCAGTGTACTCTAACTACAGGCTGCCTTAACAATCAAGTTCACTGTGACAGTTCCAGAGAAGCACACACCAGCTTGCAGCTTTAGCTGTGACTCCTGAACACATTTGCTGGTGTACCTGGCTTCTAAGAAACCAAGCTTGCATCTATTAAGGCTTTTGCTCCAGGCATGCTTACTTTAGAGTAAATGCCCTATGCTAAAGGGACTTGCTTCACAGTGAACATATATAGGACCAGAAACTTTGGATTTAGGATTCTAAGAGAGCCTAATTGGATTTCTTGGAGAGAAGTCTGACTGATTTCAGTGGAACTTGTATCCAAATAATACTTGTTTGGTTCAGTGTCGATGTGCCACCTAAAATGTGCTGCCTGGGCACAAATTTGGCTGTGCAGATTTCTGCTGGGAACTCTGTTTCTGTTTCCCCCTTATGACTTCCTTTCATCCATTTGACTACTTTCTATCACACTCCTGCCTTCTTCCCAACTGCATGCTAGTAGGGTGCACAAGCTGCAAAACCACAACATTCCTATGGCCAGCTGGAGCATTTGTGACAGCTTGCTGAAGCAACCTTTTAACTTCAGTGCAACAACTAAGCATTAGATATATTTTCTGGCCCACTCATATCAGATACATTTAACACGAAAAGAAGTCTGGTGGCAGTTACAGAGAAGACACTGGAATAATTGATGAACATGAAATTTGCTTTAAGGTGCAAAGGAAAACTGAAAAAGAACTGAAGTATTGTAGTTTATAGAGACAGATGTTTCCCCTTACCGGTGTGAGTTCTGATGTGTCCTTGAAGTAACCAGGGTCTGGAGAAGGCCTTGCCACAGATCTTGCAAACACAAGGTAGTGTGTGGGTCCTGATGTGCATCTTAAGAGCTCCCAGGCTGACATATTCCTTGTCACAGTATTTACAGCTGAAAGATTTCCTAGACTGGGCATCACAGTGCAACTGCTTATGCTTGGCCAGTCCAGAGAAGGTTGAGTAGGTCTTGTTGCATAAACCACACTGAAATTTTTCAGCTTCGATTGCATGGGGATCTGAAAGCTTGGACTGGATTCTCTCTTCTTCGTCACTAATGGGACTCTCTGAGCCACTATGATCCTTGGATGAAGTGTCAGAATGAGGAGGTGGGCTGACTCTTCCCAAAGACGAAGGATATCCAGAGAGAGGTGAGAGGTCACTGGGTAAGGGGGAAGGCAGCAGCCCCGTTGTAGTCCATACGGTGATGGGGTTGTAAGCGACTGAACTCAGGACCTCTGGTTGTGGAATTACAGGCATTGGGTAGCTCTCATAAAGGTATGGGGAAATTATCACTGGAGGAGAAAAAAGAAACTCGTTTCAAAATAAGAGATTTGCTTTGCAGAAGAGCAACACAGCCAGCACTGCCATAGGCTAGAAATGCTGAAACCAGGCTGAAATTAGCACATGAAACATACAGAGGAGTCAAACGGGCATCTTTAGCACTGCATACATAAGTTCACAAAGAGCCCCACTAACTGGACAGTCTGGTCAGTTTTCCTCCCTGCAACCTAGCATATTCAACCCTCAAAAGCCACATCATCTTCCTGCATTTTATCATGCAGCAACAGAGAGCAAAAGAACCTGAACACTAAATTACCTTCTAAACATTTATTTTCTGTGCTTAAGCACAATTCTAAAGTTGGAAGTTTTTAATTTGGCTTCCACTGACAAATCACTGCAGGAAAAACACGGGGGAAAGTTGGCACCGATGTGTGAAAACTAGCAAGCAAGTACTGCTTTTGGAACAGTGGGAGCAAAAAAAAAAAAGACAGAGAAGAAGGCGTTCTTTAAGATCTCCATTACCTGTGTGAGTATCCAGCTCACTGTAATTGGGCTTTTTGGAAGAATTGAAATGCTTCTTGACCAAAAAGGACCGTGGCATTTTGAACGCGGGCTGGCCTGCTCCTTCCCGGCTCTCCTTTCAGGACAGAATAACGGTCCCCGGCTTGCGTGCAGCAGACAGCCCGGCTGCTAGCGCATTGGTCCTCTAGCGCATGGTCTGCCCCGCTAGCCCCATGCAGAAAAAACGCTGGAGTGCAGCGGCTGCTTGAAAAGTGCTGTAAATACCCGCCGGTCAGGTGCAGGAGGGGAGGGTCGGGGTTTCCCTCTCCTCCAATCGCTTGAGAAGTCGCCGGAGTTCTTCTTGACGAACTCAGCCTGTTTGGCCGAGAGGGTTCTGCCTGTGCTCGGCGAGGAGGATCCAATCCCGCGTCGGAACTCACAACTTGGGTCGGGTTTCAGCTCCTCCCCCTGGGATAGCCGAGGAGCACAGAGGAAGGCTCTCTTGTCAGAGGGAATTACGCGGGAGCTGGGAGAAGCTCCTCGGAGCCCTGCCTTGCCTGCTCGTTAAAAGTCCGCTCGCTGGGAAGAGGCCTGAAGACTGACCGGGGCTTCTCTCCCCCCGCAACGGGTTGCATGTTTCTTCGTTCGAGAGAAGCCTCCTTCCCAGCAGGGACAGGCAGGCTGTTCAGTAGGGCAAAAAGGCGGGAGAGGGTCGAGGGGAAGCCGAGCCAAGATCATAAACAGGCCATTTGAAGAAGCTAATGAGAGCCTTCGGCTGATCACGTGGGGCATGCTATTTTGGGAAGGGGAAAGGATTTCAGAGCAGAAGTGTATCCTGCAGACAACGTGGAAAGTTCACCTTTGGAAGAGCTGGCAGTAGGGAACTATGGCCCCGATCCAACGAAAGTAAGGTGTGCTTAAGTCCCTTTGAAATCCATGGGGATTAAGTAGGTGCCACTGCCTTTCATTGGATCAGGGCCACTTCTCCCCCCCCACCCCACTCGCCCGCTGCTGCAACTCGGATCCACACAGGAAAAGTTTTGATCCAGGTCTTCTGCGGAATTCCTGTGCTGTGATCAACAAGGCTGCAATTGTATGAATACTTGTACTGGAACAGAAGTCGCGTCGAGCACAGATGCATTTACTTTAAAGTACGTTCAAGCTTCACAAGCCTTACTTGTCTTCAAGCTAATCAGTACAAAAAAGTTTGCATTTCTTTTATTGATACTGGAGAACAATATCAATATTTGCAGCCTGTACTTCCGATTATGGGGAGGGGGGCGGAGGAGGGATGCTGAGCAGTGCATACACTGGATCCCAGCCTTATCAAGCCCTGTTTCCCAGATAAAAAGGCTTGAGCTGAAAGAAAATATCAATTCTGTCTCCTTTCCGCCAACATACCAATCAGGAGGGATTGGTTCATTGTCCCATTTGGAAATAGCTCTTCCTTTCATTTGGTACATGTGGATGTAAATTGTCGGGTTGCAGAGAATTTATAGCGCCCCCACAGGGTTTTTCAAGGCAAGCGACTGAGCAGAGGTAGTTTGCCATTGTCTTCCTCTGCAAAGTCTTCCTTGGTGGTCTCCCTTCCAAGTGCTGATCCTGCTTAGCTTCCGAGATCTGATGCAATTGGGCTATACTATGCTATTACACATTCCCTCTCATTTGCAATACCAGGTGGTTTATTAATTAATTATCGTATGACATTTTATAGAATAGCCAGGAGATCCTAAGATTGTCTGGCAGCATTATGCACCATTAGGTGGTGAGCAAAACTTGTCTTTAAGGCAAGAGACATTTCAGAGGTGGTTTGCCATTGCCTGCCTCTGTGTCACAACCCTGGTATTCCTTGGAGGTCCCTATTCCAAATACTAGCCAAGGGCAGCCCTGCTTAGCTTCTGAGATATGATGAGATCGAGCTAGCCTGGGCTTGCTGTACCAGGTGCTATTAAAGCACTCATTTACAGCGGTCACACAGTACCAATGCCAGTAGCATCTTGCGGACAGTTTCAAACAAATCCACAGACATTAAAGACACAGCCAATACAATACAAACATGGGCCCATACAATTTAACATTTGTCATTAGTTTCAAGACAGAATACTCCTAAGTATGCTTAAAAACTTCACAGGCACCCCAGTTTAAAGGATGTATCAGTGGATTGCTGGATATAAAACGAGTTTATAGAAAGAAGGCCAGGTGGAGGGAAATTGCAGTAAGACCACCCCAGCCTTCCCTGCAACAGGTGTTGGAATGGAGACATGACAAATAAAAATCCCTGTGGTTCTGTTAAGACTTGTAAGAGCAAAGTGCTTTGTCAAACTGCATAACTTCTTTATCTGGGAGATGCCAGAACAAGTGCAGAGGCAAGTTATCTGCTTTCATGTACTGAGATTCAACTTTTAACAGACTCCAAGCCTAGTGTTGTTTATCCATGAGAGGTTTTTTTCCAAAAGAACACCTTTGCTGAAAAAGAAGAAGGAATAATGGCATACAACAATTTGAATGTTTTCTTAATGACAAAGGGTGGCAATGGCCTATTCAGAATAGTTTTCAGCTTGGCTGAATCAACATAGGGTGCAAATATGGAAATATAGCTCAATCCTAACCATATTTTCTTCTGAGTAAGTGTGTACATTGGATTAGTCTACTTTGGGGTGTCTGCTATTCTGATCCTTGAAATCCCTTCTTAACATTGTTAGCATCTTCCCTCTTGAATCAGCACCCTTTAATCTTTTTGCCCTTTCAACTCCCCTGTAGGGGTTATCATCTACTAGGAGAAAAAAAAATCTTTTACCTTTAATAGAGGCTTAATGGGACATTACTTACCTCCATGCATGAAAAACTTCAGCTGCCCATTTCCACATATTATTAAAGGGACAGGACCTTTTCCTCGAGGCCTTTTGGCAAGCTTAGCTCCCATAAAATTCGCCATCCCTAGTATTTCTTGATCAAGGCACATTCCTTTCTTGTATTTCTTGATCAAGTATTTCTTGATCAAGGAGTGTCTACTACAGTTCCTTTCTCAGAGTCAATGTCTTTGAAATAAAATGTGTCTACTTTAGAATAAGTAGTTTGGGCATATCAGACTTAGATTACGGGCTGTGATCAAGTTACTTCTGTGTTGGGCACAGGTCCTGCCCTGTGTGATGTTGCTAAATACACATTAAGTAGTAGACTTAGTAAGATGCAAAACAAAACAACACAGTTACTTATTCATATTTTGTTTTGGCAGAATCTGTGGAATTCCTTGCTAGACTCTCTATAATATCAAGATCTATTAAGAAAACCTTTCTGTTGTGGAGGAAATATTTCCCTTTTGCTAAATTTTCACAGATATGTGCTCTCCAGAAACCCTGGCATATCCTTATGCTGTCTGTCTTTGTCTATCAATCTATCTGAGTTTGGGCTACTCTTGATTCTTTACCGTGTGGATATAGTTCTGGAAAAGTGACAATAGATCCCCACATTCCTTCTGATGATCTGATTAGCTTCCATGTCTGTGACACAAGACATCAACATTCTCATTCTCTGATTCCTATCGGATAAGCTGTAACACCAGCACAGCAGTGTAGCAATACCATGGTGAACTAGGCCCTCGGGATCTTTTAGTCAGACCTGTGCCTATAATCTTAAAGTCCTGACATGTCAGCCAAGAGGCTGACCTAAATGAATAACGTTGAATGCTGAGTGCAAGACATGTTATTACATGGCTTTGGAAGGATATTGGCAGAATGTTGTTACCTGAGTGAGGTTTTCTGTCAAAAACTGGGTGTGTCTGCATGAGGACTACTTGAGTCAGAGTAAACAGGTGATTGAAGTGAATGGTGGGGAGGAAACAAGTTGCCTGAGGATGGCCAGAGATATCACAGTGCAAGGGAGGGAAAGTTGCCTGAAGGAGAGTCAAATGTGAACCAAACCTTACAATAGCCCTCTTTTTATCTGAAAGCCAGAGAACTAAGTGTTTTGTACGGATCACATAGGCTGTTCTTGCATTTAGAAATTAAGCACTGTACTATTTGCATATGATTTGAGGGGGGGGTTACCCTTCAGTTTTCACTACTGACAGCTTGATCTTAGATAGTGGTAGACAAAGCCCAGAAAGGGGTGATGTGAACTTCTTTGAGTCTAGCAGCCAGGGCCGGCCCGAGGATTTCTTGCAACCTAGGCGGGGCTACCTTCTGGCGCCCCCCGCGCACCCATTAATTAAGGGGTTGCCAACCTCCAGGCGGGGCCTGAAGAGAAGGAAGAGGAGGAGAGCTTGCAGGGATTCGGCAACGAAGAGGCCTCTCCTCCGCTCCCAGCCCGCTCCCCCCCTTCCTCCAGTTTTTGATTGTCCCAATGGTGACGCGTCCCTGGAGAGGCTGATGCCAGTCGGGACCGCCCTGCCACTGCCCCTGGGCATGGAGCCAGACCCCAAGGAAGCCATGCCGGCTGCAACGCGAGCCCCAGCCCCCAACTCACCCACAGAAGAGGAAGACCGCCTGGAGGGGCCATAAGGAGTCCTCGGGGCTCTCACGTTCTCCCAAAATTACAGCCCCCTCTTCCAGCAGGCAGAGATCATCCCTCCCCCCGAGAAAACTGTGGCAATGGAAGGACTCCCTGGCATTGTTCCCATGGGATGTGTGGTCCCCCCCTCCCCAAACCGGGCCTTTCCCGGAATGCAGCCCCCAAATGTGCAGGGATTTACCACCCGGGAGTTGGCAACTGGGGCCGAGCATGGTCCCCGCCTTCTGTTCCCCCCCATCTCCAAGCTTGGGACCCCCCCAGCGAGCGACTCGCCCCCAAAGAGCCCCCCTGGCCATCACCCGGCGGCGGCTGTTGTGTGCCTTCTCCACGTGGCTCCTTCCCCTTCCCCGAGCGCCCCCCACCATGCAAAGGCGCCCCTCCTCTTCCCCGATCCCCCCTCGCTCGGCCTCTCTGGCAGGAGGCTTGCCAGGCTTAACCCCTTTGGCGCTGCAGAGGGAAGAGAAAAGGCACTCGCCAGGAGGAGCGGGCTTGCCCAGGCTGCCCTCCTCCGCTGCTCCATGGGGCGAGTCGGGAGGAACATGGGGGGGGTCTACTGCGCTCCCCAGGGAGGACCACGTGCAGCAGCAGCAGCGTCTCCGGAAGAGGAGGCTGGAGCTGGCCCGCCCGGTCCCTCCCTGATTCCCCCAGGAGTGGCCGGGGGGCAGCGGGGGGCGCAGTTTGGCACCCCTGAGGGCCAGCACGCCCTAGGCGAGTAGCTAGCTTGCCTAGCGGGCAAGCCGGCCCTGCTAGCAGCAAATTCA